CCCCCGGAGCTTCTTCCCTTCCAGGTCTTCGGCGGCAGTGGGGTGTCCTTCCGCCCCAAGACCCACCGCCGAAGACCCCAGGCCCCTTGAATCCTCTGGGCGGCCCTGGTGCGGGTTGCTACCTCGCTGGCTGCTGGCATCTCTCTGCCTGAGCAGTTTCCACCAGGAGCGCTGGGGGCGGGGGGAGGAGCTGCTGGCTGCTGTCCCCTGCTGTTTTCTTTCTCTCCCCACCACAAAAAATCCCCCCCAGGCTCGAGCTCCCCCCACTGCCGCTGCCCAGGAATCCTTGGGGATCTCCCCACAGCTGTTGTTTCCAGGCTGCTTCTGAGCAGCCAACGTGTGCAGCTCCCACTGCTCTTGAACCCGACAGCCCCCAGCCCCGGTGGGCATCACACAGCCAGCCCTGGAATGCAGTCCAGGCTGGGGGTGGGACCGGCTGGGCAGCCCCTGGGCCCTGATTCCTTTGTGCGCCCCCAGAGCGGGGAAGGCTGGGGCAGGATCCCTCTGGGAAAGGCCCCTGCTCTGCAGCTCCCCCTGGGGCAAGGATCCCCCCTCCTTCTGCCTCCAACCTCCAGCAGCTGCTGCTGCCCCTTGCTCGGGAACCCACCAGTGATTCTGTCCCTGCCCCCTACCCGGGCATCCCCTCTGCTGGGCCCAGGGCTCAGGGCAGAGCCTGGCTCTGAGCGTCCATTGGTGCAGAGGACATGTACAGGAATAAAAATGTGGCCACTTTTGGAGGGGCACTTTCTGTGCCCCCCGCAGCCAGAGGAGCTGGCTCTGCTCCCCGGAGGAGTTCTGTGCTCCGGCCCCATTGATTCAGGGGGGCCCTGCACCTGCTTCCCCCTTGCACATGCCCCTGCCCCTGAGGGTCTGGCTGGGTGTGGGCGGGGAGCGGGGATACTGAGCCGGGAAACTCACCTGCTACCACCAGCTCAACAGGGTCGCTGGGATGCGACCAGAGGAACTGGTACATTTTGGAGCGATAATAGCAGCTGTAGCTCCCTGCGTCTCTCCGG